TGTTACTGGAATTTTGGCACATTTTCCCCCTTGTGTGTGGGTGTCAATGCATCAACACTAATGGGAAAGGCTACTCGTGCTTTTTTAGATTGGTACTTTTTTTCTGGAATAAATGGTATGTTTTTCTTGGGGTTTTTGCGCTGTTTCTTTCTTTTCTCTCCATGTCTCTTTCCTTCTCTTGTCCTCCCAGCCTCCCTCACGTTGTCCTGGCTGTGCTGGCTGTCTTAGGAAACTCTTCTGCAAATGGTGAACTATTAGTTCTGAGAGCAAAGCTCAGCGATCACAGATGCAAGCAACATAACTTCAGCTGATATGTCAAGAAAATCCTCTCCATAGTTTTGCTGAAAAGCTTTATTTCCATATTTTAGAATAAATTAATTGGGAGAGTTCCACTATCTTCTTTCTGAGAGTCATAAAATCTACAGGGAAGTAAGACAACCTTCTTTACTCCAACTCTGACAAAAATGGTCTAAGAAAACTGATTCAGAAAGTCCTTCAGCTCCTGATTCATTCCTGTTGGCCTAGCGCCAACTTTCTTGTCTCTCCACCGTCCCAGATTTGACTTATTAGATCGCTGGAAACACAGACAAATACAAATGAGGACCAGTGACTTTAGAAGGAATGCCCACCTCAGCCTCAGAGATTTTCCAGGCAGATTATTCAGCAATTTAATGTGAATATCTTATCTTCTTTTTCCAGCCTAATCATGCCTCTAATTCTAAACTGTTTGGTCAGTTTTGAAAGCAAGGACTTAAGAAAATATCAGAAAAGATGATTTCTTGCCAACTGCACATGGACAAAACTGACAGGGGAATCTCATGATGGTGTTACACTCACACCCTGGCTTGTCTCCTGACCCTCTCATGCTTTTGGCTTTTTTATCTTTTCCACTCTTCTCTGTCCTGAAGCGCATGACCTTGTGCCCAGCCTCACACGGCATGGTTGTGGAGCTGGGGCTCAAACTCTTTGGAGCATAGCTAAGTTGCTTGCCTATCTCGGTGTTTAGGTTTTTTTGCCTTGTGGAACATTTCTTCCCATCTTCCCCCCTGCCCCCCCGCCCCGATATCAGCAGGACTCCCTTCCCAAGCAGCAGTGAGAAGGGCAGAGCGGGTGCAATCCTGTCTCACCTTGCAAACCCTCCGGCAGCCCCCCTGCCCCTGCTCTGACCGACACCTCTCGGGCACACAGCGCGAGCCAAGCGGTTGTTTTAACAGCGTACACAGGCAAGGCACTAACAGGAAAAGAATAGAGAATTGAAAAGTAGCGAAGCACACTCCCTTTTCTTCCTCCTTATCCGGTTCATGTCTGTTGTACTGGAGTTTGGCTTGTTTGCTTGCCTGTTTATTTCTGCTGGGAAATGGAGGGGGTACAGGGCTGTGGGACCAGGACCCCGTGACCACCAACAAGGGTTTCACAGTCGCTTCGTTTCGCAAGACCCCTTTACGATCGCCTTGGCTGCAAAACCAGCACAGGCTGTTTGCTTTCCCTCCCTCTGTTTGCTTTCATTGGCTGGAACCCGCTTTTTTCCAGTTCCTTCCTTTTCTGGGATGCCAGTTAACGCCAGTTAACACCAATAACATCAATACCTCAGCTTTTCAGACACAAATGTGAAAACAGATTCTCGTACCTGCTGAGCTGTGGTTTTTCACTATCAGCTGGCTACCGATGATGCCGTAGAACATCCCTCATACCAATGCCATGCCAAGCAGCAGATCTCAGGATAAAATATTTCACATTTCCACTTACTGGGAACATTTTTCCCTAAGACCTTATCACCCTGATACAGTGGTTTTGGCATGGGGTGTAACTTAGGGAGCAGGTCAAAGCCCAGGAAGCTCCCTGGTACCTCTTCAGACCCTCAGCTCAGCATGGCAAGGGTGCGCTGCCCCCAAGGCACCCCAAACACAAGTCCCCAGAATAACAATGTCTTCCCTCATTTTTTGTCTGGCCATTATGGTTTGTGCACTGTACTGGCTGCTTTACCATCTGTGACAGCAAGGTACCTCCTGAGGTTACCACAGGAGGCAAAGTTAAGCCATTGCTGTGTTGCAGCTGGCATAGATACTGTGAAATAAAGGCAGAACTAAGGAGGGAAAATGGGTTATTTGGTCTTTATTTTCAGGAGGAGATTAGATGCTGGATTTCTAAGTAAACAAGTAGGTAAACATTTAAAAATCAGTCTAGGCTCTGGCTTCTGAGGGGAATGTAGGTAGCACTGAACTCCAGGTTTAAACACAGTTAAAAGAAATCCCACTGTTTGTCTAAAATATTTTTTTTTTCTATTAAAAACAAAGAATGAATTTCACTGTTGTATTCACTTAACATAAATCACTTAAAATCTGTTCATCACAAGATTTGGGAACTCGATGAAAAGAAGCCTTTTCTTTTTATTACTTACTCCTGGGGGGGGGGTAGTATGTTTTTTGTTCAGGGGAAGGTGCAGTTCCTGACAGGCTTTTAAGTTCTCCTAAAGTATATAGGTGCCAGCAGCTATACATAATCTATATATTCAGTTGGAGGCCTACATTTAGAGGGGGAGTTTTGAACAGTAAGGGCTGCAGTCGCATTACGTGTCTTACTTCCATCAAAATTTGTAATACCCTGTAGCTGATGAGTCTGATTCAGCTCACAGCTGAAGAAGGACACTCTACAAGTGCGATGGGAGTGGAGATGCCTGCCCAGGCTGTCTTTGTAGAGATTTACAGAGTTAGTTTTGGGTGGAACTGGGGGAATGAGGGGACAAAGAAAGGCTGCAACAGTTCTTCACAAATGCAAGGAGCAATGAATACTTCCAGTCTTGCCAATGCTGTGCTGCAAGCTTGTCTCGATAATTTCACACAGCAGTCCCTGTTTAAGCAAAGCAGCCTCCTGTCAGCTGGATGGCAAAAGCTAATTGTAAAATTAAGCAGTTGGTTTTTGCATATCTGATTCCCTAAGGGTGGGACCAATTTTCTGCATGGAACCTTCTGTAAGTCCACATGTACAAACTTAACAGTTGAGAATATCTGAATAACCTTGGTGCAAAGAGAGCGTGGGATGGGGGAAGTCCATCAGCAGTTCAGGCTGTTCAGGATGCCTCACTTCCCACTGGGCATTCCCCCTTAAAAACATCCCCCCCTTTCTGCCAGACCTTGCCAAGAGCCCGGAGAGCCTCTCATCAATTCTCTGTGAAGCTGAACCTGCCATTCAACTGAACACTGAACTGAATTCTCTTTTTTCTCCAGCTCCTCAGCAGGCGGTGGGATCGCTGCCTCGGGGTCGGCCCTCCCCAGGCAGCAGGTCTGGGCAGGAGGAGCGAACCCCAGAGCATGTCAGGGCCACATGTCTGGGAGCATGGCTTTGCTCCCCCGTGAGCTGCCACAGGCGTCTGGGCAGCTCTCTGACTTCTCCAGGACCATTACCTATAAAGGCATTTGGGAGGGGGGGAACAAGTGTGTACCTATGGATTTAGCTGAGTTTCCAGAGAGCAGGTGCTTGAGCAGAGCTGGGGGTTGTCTGAGGTGTGGGCTGATAGAGGAGGTCAGTTACACACCACATAGTAACAGAGGAATCTTATTGCAGATGAATTTAATCTTTGAAAAGATTTCCTCTCCTTCCTCAGCCTAAACAGCCTCTCATTTTTCCCCAAACCATCAGAATAAGTTATTTAAAAGTTGACATTACTTTTTGCACATACCCCATGAAGAAACAACACCTCTCTGGATGTGGCAAGAAATTGTTAACAGCCCTGATAGCATGCTGTACTGCCTGACAGGTGGACATTTTACATGGAAAATATGTTACACATGAGAGCAGACCTAGGCTGACTCATTTAACTCCATGCCGAAGGCACTGCCGAAACCAAACTCCCTTAATGGAACCGGTGCCCCCATGGCATCCCTGGCGCTCCAGTTTCTGAAGCTAACAGTGAGGCAGCTGTCAGACGGGGCAGTTACAATGTCTTTTGTCAATTTTTTTTATTAAGCAACCACCAATAATGGGTGTATCAGGCCTGCTCTACTTAAGGAAAAATTGTTTAGGAATTCTGCTTCCTGAAAATACTGCAAAAACTACCAACTTTCCACCTCTGCCTTGCCTCCCACGCTATCTGCAGGCATTAGTGTATTCAAACAAAAACAACCAAGACAAACCAGCAAGTAATGAAAGAGAAAAAGAGCACAAACAAGAAGCCTACAGCACTGCCAAATTATACAACAGCAATTCCCATTGGGGAGAGCTTGGAAAACTTGCCTCACTGAGGCCAGCGGTTATGCTGAGAGCGCTCGGAGGCTCCCACACCAGGGCCAGGACCAGGACCAGGACCAGGTCCAGGTCCAGGACCAGGTCCAGGACCAGGTACAGGACCAGGGCCAGGTCCAGGACAGGGCAGGCAGCCCTGTAGGCAGCTTGCCTGCACCTGCTGTAGCTTTCCCCACCGCTGCCGTCCAGCCTCTGGCCACAGCTTCCACCGAAGCTAGTAGGGATGGAGCGACTCCTAGCAGCCCTCAAAATCAAGCCTTTGACTCAATATAACTGAGACAGTCTCAGTTTTCCCACAAGTAATTGTCATGGGAGAGAGGGTGGCTTGCCTTTAATTCGCTTGTAAAATAGCACGTGCATCTATGCCATGAAAAATCCTGACTCCTACAGTCACAGACTGCGAAGGGGCTGCCATGGTTTTTTTTTCCTCTCCGCTATTTCTCACCACAACTTGCTCACAATTTACAAGACTGAAGTGATGCCACATGCGTGTGCTCTGTGCCCTAACTTTAGCTGACACAGCAAACACTTCAAGTCCTCCCTTTCAGCATGCCTTCTCTGTTACAAACTTGTGCCTATGAACACCAGAGAGAGGAGAAAATGAGAGAGAAGGAGAGAGAGAGACCCTTTAAGCTAATGGGTAAGGAATGCGCATCGAGCTGTGCGTGGACGTCCGATGTCTCCAACTATTTGTTAAAAGGCAAAAGCAATGCTTCCGACAGACGGCCCTCCCCTCGCCTGCAATAGGCTCCCAAGAATAGCAACAGCCTGTGTCACTGCAAAGGGCAAAGCCTTCTGAAATAGCAACAAAGTTGTTCACAAACCACTTTGTGGTTTGCATTTGGTTTCAGCCAGCTTCAGCAACTTGTTGCCATGAGGAAAATAACCTGCGCTTTCCTTGGCGGCCGGGGAAAGACCGCTGCCCCCTGAAGTGTTCCTGCCCCAAGGTGCAAAGGGGGTGGCAATGGTACCTGGGCAGAGCACGGAGGACCTCGGCCAGCAGAGCCAGACGATGAGAGCAGGGGAGGATGAGGAGAGCAGCCGGGACAGCCACCGCAGCAGCCGCCGCCACCTCCGCAAGCTCCCGGCTGGACCAGGTACAGTGGCAGGGGCTGAATGCCAGCTCTGAGCCAGCAGCAGCAACGTGCCTGCGTAGCTAACGCGTGGGGCTGGGGGAAAACAGCCCCGCGAAGGCAAGGGACTCTCGGGGCACACTCTCTCAATTTCCAAAAGAGAGGAAAATGTGAGTAAGGAAGGGGAATGCTGGCTTGAATTTTGAATGAAGGTTTATGCGATACTTTTCCCAAAAGGCCTCTGTCCAACTGTTCATGCATGTGTTGTCTGTTGTACAAATCCCTTTCCTTTTTGAAGATCAGTCACCTGAAAAGTCAGAGAACCCGCTGCTGTCTAAGATAACAACGGTGGTCTGGTCCCTGCACGCTTGGGAGCAATTCAGCCCTGTTCACTGAAGTGGAGGGAGGCCAGGCAAGCACTGCACCTGCTCATGCAGGGGGAAAGTACGGGCTGGGGGGACGGGGAATCCCTCCTGCCTTTTCTCCCCTAGCATTTCAGGAAGAAACAGGGTTTCTGTGCTGACACCCTGAAAAGTCAGCTGTAGAATTTCTTCTTTTCTTTGCAAAAGATTTTTGAATGCTGAAGCTGAATTTCATAGCTCTTCACCTTTGCTGTCCTACCCAGCCAGTTTTTAGAGGTTACAGCATAGTTTTGCATCTTGAGTCTTTCACTGATAATAAGATCAAAGGGAAAATGACCCGCAAGCATGACATTTCTCACCCACAAGACAGCTGTACCCAAACAGGAAAGTACAGTTGTAAGCCAGAAATGACTGTGTCCCAAGCAGGTTTTTTTCACTTAAAAATGAATGAATTGACTAACCCATGGATGTTCAGATACCACAGGCACAAATGCTTTGTTGGAGTGTAATAGTGAGCAGTCCAGCAACATCTACTGATACCTGGAAGCAGAGGTTAATCAAGAACAGAAAGCCAGTCATATTTAACATTACCTTAGGGTATGGGGGCAGCAATGCAGATGGTTATAGGATAGCGTTATGAAAGGGAAGCACAGCAGTTACAATAAACAGATAGCAAAGTTACCGCAGCACAAGGGCTATGGTTAGAAGAGGACACGCAAATTACACACTTGGCCTTGCCCTCAGAAATTAAAGCAGTAACCTGAGGAATTTATAATTACCTAGCTAGGAATTAAAAGAACTTGTTCATTCTTACTGGGAAATAAAAAAAAAAACCAAAACCCAAATCCCATTTAATGTAATGAAGGGCCAGGCTGGCTGTTGACATAATGAAAAATACATGGCAGAGCACTAAGAAAGATGGAGAGATGGCCGGGGGGGTCTGTACAGGACGTGCATTCCCTGTCTGTCCATCAGTGCCAGGGGCCTTTTGTTCATGAAATTCAAGTATTACTCACACAATACATTCATTGAGCTTACGGTGTACAAAGTATACAATACTTCCCACCATTGCAGGAATTTAGATGTGTGAAGATGTGTGATACATTAGCTTCCTTCTGCCTTCTTTTTAGTTCAATTTACAAAATATTTGTTTTGGTTTTGCCTTTCATACTTGGCTGGCAGGAGTCACATTTGTAAAATGGTCATGATCCCACATGGCCCTGACACTATTTTTGCATAAATTTAATATTTTCTGAGATTTTCCAGCTCTGCTTGCAACATAACTTTGTCCCAAAGCCACCATTTGTTTCATCCCGTAGGGTCTTGTTGGGTAACAGTTTTAGATCCTATGCTAGACTTCTAGATGGACAGTTAGATCAGATGTATCCTAGCTAATAGAACAAATGCACCTATTGAGCAGCTGCTTGATCTAAAGAAACCTCAGGCATTAGAATAGATCAACAGGGTGACATATATCTCTTTACACCAGAAAACTGGATGAGACGAAGAAGATGGCTGTGACAGCACAGCAAAGATCATGGTGGCATGAAAATGTGATAATCACCTTTTACAAGAAGCAAACCCATGATTTAATTATGCAGCAATTCCCAACACATGCCATTAAATCCTACAAAACTGTGTGATCCACATGCTATACAGTTTAGCAAAATCCTCCTCTAATGAAAATTTGGGGATTTTTAAACACTATTTCTCTGTAAAGGCAAACTTTTTGTATGTCAGACAGCACTCAGATGGAGAAGGAATATGTTGTTAAAGATAGCTTAAAATTTTCAGATACAGATGCTGTAGTTTTAAGATTTATCATGGATAAAAATAGATGCCTTGTTCTACTGAAAAAGAGAGATTCTGTGCTGTGGATTCATATCTATGCAATGCACTAAACTCATGATTTTCTAACCTGTGGTTATTAACCAAGGGTTGACAGGGCTTGATTTCAACTTCCAAATGTCTAAATAGATCAAAGAATCCCCAAGGATTTAAAGAATGTATATTTGACCTTCCAGGAAAATACTTTCCTTCACTCCCAAATTGAGACATTTCTCACCTCAGATTAAATCAAAGTCAACAGAAGAAAGCACCATGTCGGAAGAGACAGCGTGTTGAGTCCCCTCCTATCAAAACAGATGTATCTGCACAGGTCACCTACAGAAGTAATCTCCCCCTCTCCATCCCACTAGTTTTCTCTACGCGCACTGCATGTTCTCTTGGGAGAAAGGAAAGAAAAACTGCCTCTCAGAAATCTCAGTGTCTGGACTAATGTGGAGCGTGGTACTGCCAGCGTGAGCTGGGAAGGGCTCCCAGGCACCTCTCCCGTAGCATTCCT